ACACACCAAATCCCCTCCTTCACCTCAGAAACAAAGCAATCTCCTGAATATTTGCCTCCACAATGCCCAAAGGAAGAAAAGGGAGAGATCAACATGTTGTTTTTCCAGAAACAGCTACCCTTGAACAAGGCATCTAGAGTCTTACCACACAATGCAAGATTTAAATTTCTAGTATAGTTCCCTTTTCAGAATATGGGTTTCTATTTGATTTTAAATTAAAGTTCCTGTCCTCATGACCCTCATGATTCCACACAGAGAAAAATGTAAAATGAGGATGGTATTTGTCATAGTTTTGGAGATCATATCAGGACAGAGTGAAAATAAAAAATTTCAGGACATACGTTTCATGGCCCTAGGATGACCAGGCGAAATTCCTTCTTCTACTAAGCTGTTAATAAAGAGTACAGAAGCACTGTTCTCTTTTGCATCTGGATATCCTAGAGACCCCCTATTCCTTGTTTTTCCATATTTAGGTCAATATTTGAAATCCCATAAGCACTTACATGTGAGTAAGTCCCACAGAATGCATATCTCTGAGCAGATATGAATAAATTTACACTGTGCTTAATCCCCTCCACATTTTCCCACTCACATTCCAAATTGAAAAAAGGTAACCGGAAGAAAATGCAAAGGTGCTTTATATAGATATAAAATCAAATTGCACTCCATTGTCACAGCTGACAATCACTGTTGTTAAATGGGGCCCCTATAGGAGCCAATTCAAAAGTTGACAGCCTTAACCTGCTTCTGAATTGGGGCATTTAATAGCCGCCAGAACCTCAGAAGAGTGATGGACTAGAATCATCTCCCAGAGCTTGGACTCTTAAAAACAGCATTAAAAAGAAGAAGGGTCCATATCCGATCACTTTTCTCTGGGGCAAGAGGAGCGGCTTCTGGGTGAGCATGCTTAAATCAGTCTTTTTTCCTCTGGTTGGGGATTTTTTATTATTATTATTATTTTTAAAAGGGCTAATTATCAATGCCAGGCAATGTGAATTTTAAATTTGCATTTATTTAAATGAATTAACATGCAAACATCTGGTAACTCTGCAGGGAAGCTAAGAAAATAATTACGCTAATCACTATGAGAGAAGAGGCCCATACTGCATTACAGTAATGAAGGCCAGATAAGCAACTAAGGGCAGGAATACAGTGGATTAGCTGCCCACCTAATACAGTTTAGACACACTTTTGTAAAACAGGATAAAAGGGGTATATTAAACAATGGCCAAAGGTGCAATTTCCCCACTCTTTTAATGCATAGTTCATCCAGAAAAGCTGTTGTGTAGATAGGAAAGCTGATCCGGACATGGGGCTACAAGTGGTTGGGGTGGGGTAGGTGTTGTGCAGTCCCCTGTAAAGACCAAGTGTAAAGCCTGGGCTTGGTGCTGTCTATGGAAGCACAAATGACTGTGGTTGCTTTTTACCTACTGCACTCTTATTTAGAGAAAGCAGACCTTGCCTCCATCAAACATCCAAACCAGACTACTGCAGTGTGTTCTATGGGGTGCTGCCCTGGAAGACAACCCAGAAACCTCTGTTGGTATTCAGGGTGTCTTTTGAGGGTAGACATTTAGACCATATTATATACCAATACTGTGCCAGCTTGCCGGAGCATTTCCAAGCCAGATTCCAAATGTTAGCTTCGAGTTCTAGAGCCGTAAACCAGGTGGGGTCACTAACGTGGTGCCCACAAGCGAACATGGAATTCACAAACACCTTCCCTGGTGTTTCCCCTCCCTCTGCTGAAATTAGACTTGAAAGAAGCACTATATTGTAGCCCATAAGTTAGGCTGCAATATTTTACACAAATAAAGATCAGTTAGGTTGTGTACACACCATACATTTAAAGCATACGCACACACACACAAAGAATAATGGGAAATACAGTTTACCCTATGCTGAGCTACAATTCCCAGCACCCTTAACAAGCTACAGTTCCTAGGATTCTTGAAGGGGTGTGTGCTTTAAATGAAAGGTATATAAGCAGGTGTGCACCAGATATAGGGCCTTTTCAATGGTGGCATACCGGAACTGTCTTCCAAGGGATTTGTAACTGGCCCTATCAGGGCCAACCTTGAAAAAGCCTTTGAAGAACCATCTGTTCTGATTGGCTTTTAATTAAGATTATTTTATTAAGGTAGCTGCTCTCTCAGAGTATTGGTTTTAGGCTGCTAGTTATTGGAGATTGTTCTTTTAACTCTTTCTATGTTGGGCCGTGTATTATTTTAAAGATTAGTTAATATATAGTAACTGAATGCTAGTTGTTTGCTATTGTGCTGGTCAAAATTTGTGTTATGTACATTATTTTATTGGAATTGCCTTTTTATCTGGTATACATTTGCATGCCACCTGGAGAGGACATTGCCCTGCAAGGCAGCCTAAAACCCTTTAAATAAAAATAAATTTAAAAATATAAATAAATGAACACGTGGTCTGGGAATTCTTAACAACGTTGGCGCTTCGGAAATGAAGCCGATGGAGACCAGCCCATCAGTTTGTCTTCATGTCACAAAAAAGTTTCAGCTATTTAATTTCTTCCTGCCAGGCTGCTTTGAAGGCACAGGATCAGGGCCAGCTTTTCTTTAAAAGAACACAACCCTAGTTTCAGAGTCCAGAAGCAGAGTGTGATTACTCCAGATCGATTTGCTTCACCTGATTCATTTGTCCACCAGCTTTTTATCCCTCTTCTTACTGGCTCATGAAGCCAGTGAAACTTTCCCTGTCGTGAAGATAGTGATGAGGAAAGCTTGACTTGCTTAAGTTTGTGTGAGAACCCTGTTTGAGGCACGGGAGCTGGGTTAGCATAAAATGCAGCAACCATAGCAGAAACAGGGCACAGCCTTTTCTGTTTTCAACAGACTGTTGGTGTTGCAGTTAAGCAAATGGGTTGGGAGGGCGATTCTTTGGTTATCGTTAGGTGTAGTGTCAAGGCTTGCATGAGGCCTTCCAAATCCTGTGGTGGCGCTTGAAGAGGGAGAGAGAAAATGAAGGAAGAGAATGAATGGCTAATGGATGGATAAAGGGAAGAGACTTGTGTACACCTGTGGTAGAGGGGGAAGAGAGAAAATGAAAGGATGGTGGATGAATAGAGATGGAGAGGGGGAGCGAGAGAGAGCGAGAGAGAGAGAGAGAGAGAGAGAGAGAGAGAAGGGCTGTCCCACCCAATTTTTGAATTGGCCTCACCTGCCACCTGAAATAGGCATCCTCCAGCCCCAACTGAACAAGGCCCTCAACCCCGGAAAGGTTGCCCCTCTGTGTTAAAAGCTATAGTCCGTGGCCACTATAATCACCCAAAGGTGCCACAGGTCAGGAAAAAAGCATGGCGTAATGGTTAGAGAGTTGGACTAGGACCTGGAAGACCAGGGTTGAAATCCCCACTCAGCCATGAAGCTCATAGGGTCACCTTGGGCCAGCCGCCATCTCTTAACCTAAACTACCTCACATAGGATGAAATGAGGGAGGAAGAGAACCATGTACACCACCTCAAGATCCTTGGAAGATGAAGGTGGTATATAAATGCAATAAATAAATGAAAATAAACAGGAGACTACAGTTAGTTTTCTCTTAGGTGCATGGGAAGAAGTAGTTATGGGGGAATAGCCTTCTCCCTCTGGAAAGAATTTCAGAATGGGGTGGGGGGGACAAACAAACCTTGGGAAAAGAATATTTTCTCAACGTGAAACCATCACTCTGTAGCACCTTCAGACATTTGGGACATAGCTTTGTTGGGGATTGCTGCTGCTCTTTTGTTTGGGGGCTGATTGAAATGTGGTCCTTAAGGGCCAGTTCTGGAGCCATATGGGAAAGATGTAAGGTTGGAGTTGCCTTTCATTCTTTACCCATAAGGCCTTTCGGAGCGCCATTGATCTCTGGGCAGGGGGAGGTCGCCTAGAATGGTTCACTGAAGAGCATTTCCTAGAAATGTTGGGGTAGGACATGGGAATCGTAGGAATGGGCAACTACAGCTGTGAATGTGAACAGCCCCTTCAGGGACACTGGGCAGATGTTTGATGGACGGCACTAAAAGCAACCTAGGAAGAATGAAAGAGAGATGGCTGCACCGACTGATAGGAAGAAGGTTATAAAATTGATTATAATTTTTTAATACCAAGGACGGCAGTAGATGATGGAATCCAAGTGCCATTGCCTAATTGTGTTGAAGGAAGTTAAATGTAACGAGCACATCATCTGTCCACACGCCACTCAGATTAATAGTTGTTGCTGGAGAGAGCTTGTAAAAATCTCAATCCATTCCAGCAGGGCCACTCTCTGGTGTACATGCACAGAATCAGAGGCCTGTAAATTCACATGAGTGTCGTTCTTGCTAAACAGCCGCCAGACCCACTGGCTTATCTATGGAGCCACCATGCCAGCATTAGCAAAATCACAGGAGAGTGGGTTCTGCATCTGTCCCTGTGCCCCATCCTTTGAATATAAGACAGAGCCTGCAACTGTTCTTGTTTCTTAGGCAGCAGGGATGCCTGCTGACATACTGATTATCATGTGGACGAGAAGCACTTCCAATCTGACACGCTGCCATAGAAGCTGTAGCAAAACATACAGAGCAAAGCAGACTTTCCTCTTCTCCACCGGCGCCACTGTACTTGTCCTTGGCTTTCAGACCCTGCACTCATCTCTTCCCCACAACATCTTCCTAGATCCTTATTTGTGCAAATGAGCACAACACACCTGCCCTGTACTAGAAACGGATATAGACGCCATGAGACACGTCTTTCCTTCCCTATCCAAGCATGAGGATTAGGAAGGCAGCTCCTGAAGCAAAGAAGCATCAGGAAACTGATGGTGGCAACTACCATCATCAACACCCCCCACCATATGCATTCAGTGAGTCACCTGTGGCTAAGAACAAGCATATTACCATTGTACAAAGCGGACGAAAAAACAAGTCACCCATATTATGGCTATGGAGCAAGGAGGGGAGAGGAGTATTCCCTGGCTATGCGTAGTCGCACAGAGCAGAAAGGTAATGGATTTACCTTGCCGGATGGAGACATATCTGCCATTGGAGGCCACGAAAACTACTTGCGGGTGGCTCTCTTCCAGATCAAAGAGTTCATCTTTGCCCGGCTTGGAGCTCCTGCCAGATTTTAGAGTGCCGGTAGGTCCCATGGGCGCCAGGTATTTCCCATCGCAATCCTTGAAGGCCAGCTTGCCCGCCTTGAATTCCAGGGTGTAGCCTGCGCGGGGGTCAGGCTCCTTGACCAGAGTGCCATCGTTGCGCAGGTAGCGGTTGTCGCAGGTTCTCAGGCAGTACTTCTTGTTCTGGAAGGTGAGGGTGATGAGCGAGTCCACACCCCAAGGGATGTTGCTGTCGGTGGAGATCTCGTCCTCCTGTGCGCTGAGGTGCGCATACCTTCTCCTGCTCACGCTCAAGAGGTTGGCCTGGGGGTGGATAGCCAAGTGCACAGCCCAGAGCTCCGTCTCTGTGATGGTCTGGGCAAAGCAGGACAACCTGTCTTCGGAACCGCCAAAGAAACGCTTGTAGGGTTCTGACTGGAGCGCCCAGCGCCCGTCCGACTGGGTGACAATGACAAAACGCCCATCACCTCCTGGCTTCTCGGCTTCACACGAGACCTTGCCATCCTTGTCAGCAGATAAGTACCTACCTAGGTGGCTCTTCAGGAAGACCACGGAGCTGTCTCCGTCCTGCTCCAGGGTCCATATCTGCTTCCTTTTCAGGCTGGGCGCCGAGGCGTTGACCTTGTAGCCAAAGCTCTCTGCCGTCAGGTACCTGTTGTCAGAGTTAATCAAGCCAAACTGGATCTTCAGAAGCTGGTGGATCCCATTCGTTGGCATCTTCTGTCCGGACAGCGGATATAGTCCCAAGGACTGGGGTGGGCGCCTAAGGTCTTCCCAGTCCTTCGTTGGGGGTACGGAAACGTGCACGCTCACATAGGCACAGCCGAGCGATCTGGATTAGTGCAAAGGAACCTTACACCTCAGTCAAAGACCCAATGACGTGCACCTGCCCCAGTTCCCAGTCTCTTTCTCTCTCTGTGTGTGCACCAGCTCTTCCTACATTTAATCTTCTGCCCGTAAAGCCAATCTCGTTTGGCTGCCTCGTCCCCCCTGCTGGCAGTGCTGCTGCCTCCTGCGTGGCTCACACTGACCTCTTCCTCCTCCTCATCTTCTCCAGCGTGGCGAGGGGGTGGGGTGCGGATGGAGAGGAGAGAATGCTCAGGAAAAAATGTACATGCTTAAGCACCCGCAGCCTTGCTTAATTAGCGCAGCTAGGATTACAAAGATTTCAATGAGCTGCCGGCCTCCTGTAACCAATAGTGGGGCTTCTACAGAAGCCACAAAGAAGGGAGGGGGGCTTTGACAGGCTACACAATGGCCTTTTGATGAGACCTATTCTTCCGCTCTGGCCTGCTCTCTGCGCTTGTAGCGCTCTGCACTGTATCTGTGTCTCTTGTTTGCGTTGTCTCCCTTCTTCTAAGGCTTGATCCACCCCAAACGCCTTTCTATCCCACCGCTAAGGCCAAAACGCTCAAGCGGCAACTCAATCTGCCGCCTCTCCCTGGTGGAGGATTTATTTTTCTTAGCGCCGCTTTGGTTAACGTTACCGTGGGCTCTCTGATTCCATGCGGCAGGTCACCTCCAAGCCGAGAGTGCCTGCCTGGCCCAGCCTCTAATCTCCTTAACAATTAGCTGGGCATTTCTATTAGTGTAAACCTTTCATCCTCCTTTGGCCCCTTTGCCTCCATCTGTTCCGTAACCCCAAATCCACAGCTCTGTCAAAAGGATAATAGTGGCCTGGCCCCCCTAGGAAACCGATGGGGTGGCCTAGCTGAGAGGCCTAGCTCAGAATTGAACCAGGGTGGGAAGAAGGCAGGCTGGGCCGTCCGGGGCTACACTGCAGCTCAGATAAATGCAACTTGAAAGAATGGGGATGGATTTAGACCCAGCAAGTTGGAATCTGCTGAAGCAGAAGTTGTTGAATGACAGAGGTGAAAGCCACCCAGAATAGCTTGGCTGTCCTAGCTGCCTTTGTAGACAACAGCAAGGCCTGCTCTGCTCTCCTCCACCACCCGCCGCTGCCATGACTTCAGAACAGATACTTTTTAAGATCCTTCCATTTAGCCAGAGAGAGAGTTGCTAACATATGGGAGGGTTGGGTTGACAATACCACAGTTGACAGTTAGCAAAAATAGGGTTGGGGAAAACATGTCGGCAGATGGCGAAGGCCCAGTGGTTCTTATGAAACAGGCAGCAGCGAGATCCCAAACGATCGGAATAAATCTGACCCACAAAATGCACCACTCCTCTCTATGTCCCCGACTAAGGCTGCTGTCCTATGTTCACTGAGCCCCATTTAACACAGTGGGACATATGTCTGAGTAAACATGCAAGTCACGCTGTGCAAGGGAACAACTTGTTTGGATCCGCTGACTTTCCTTCTTTCGATGGCTTTCCCGACTCCATCTTCGCTCTGCAGTCTCTTGACAATCTGCCTCTGAGACTTTAAGTGACACTGAGGGGCATGGTGTCTGGATGCAAAAGTGGCCAGGGTGCCTGCAACTTTAATAGTTGTGTAGAAGAGGGGATTTTAGCGGGCGCAGCTTGCATTACACAGCTATTAAAGGTGCAGAAGTCCTGCCTGCTTTTGCATTTGGCTACCCTTATTGAGAATGTTGTGGGATATGGTGCGAGGGGGCTGCAGATGAAGGAGGCTGCAGACATCACCTCCATCATTGCATGGAGGCAAGAGAGATTTGCCCAAGGGAAGCCTAACAGGTTCCTTGTTTGAATCAGAAGTCTACGAACTGCATCCTAGCATGGGGACTCTTCCACTAGCTGTTTGAGTGAGCAGCTCATGCTTTGCAAATATATCCTGCCCAATATGTCTCTAGTCCACCGAAGAAGATGCTCAGGTCCCAAACAACGGGATTGTGGGAATATGAGTGGTATGTTGTGGGGGGGGGGCTCTCTTCAACAACTCCATTTAGAAAATCTTTTTTATTAAATAGCAGGCTACAGCTTTCTCAAATAAATTAAATAATGGAGAGCTTTTGATGTTGTTCTGCAATACCCCATCTCTCAGGAAACATGCCTGATGCAAGTATTAAAGCAATAGGAACCTTTTCATTTATTGCATCCGGTCGCCCTACAAAGTTGCAATATATTCTCTGAATATAATCAGCATTCCCTTTCCAATTACGAGGATCTGGCACTGTGGTTGAAAGCCATCCTCTTCCCATATCTTCATCCCGAGTCAAATTTGCAGCAACTTAGTTTTTCACAGCAAAAGGTAACATTTTAGTGGATCCTGCCAACCTCTTTACAGCACTGTGGTTTGCCTCTGAAAGAAGCTGCCACAGCAACCTTAAGAAGGGAAATCAGCAGTGGTGCATGGGAAACAGTGGGGTGGATCATACAGCCAATATCACTGGGATGGTGTTGTCACTGTTAAAATGGCAGCCACAAGTTACATATTTTTAGTTGTCAGCCTGCTGTCAGCCTACATTGACAGCATTTTGTTCAGATATAGACAGCCTTTTCTAGAGGGCAGAATTCAGTGGAAGTGAGTTGTTGTTACTCCAGCTGCCATCAGCACCAGCCAGCATAGTCAGTGGCTAACGTCCAATACAGGTTCCCTATCCCTAGTTAAAAATTAGAGACGGAACTGTTAGAACCAAAAACTAAGATACTTTCGAGAATGTACAACTTGCTGCTTAAATGGAACACACAGGATGAGACAGTTAAATCTGCCATGATAAAATGGGCATAGGATATTGGGCACAACATTATGTTTGAGGACTAGGAAAGGTTATGGAACACCGGAATGAAGTTCACGGCATGTAATGCCTTAAGGGAAAACATTATGAAAATGATATACCGGTGGTACATGACCCCAGTTAAGTTGGCTAAGATATATCACCTGTCTGATAACAAATGTTGGAAATGTAAAGAGGCTGAAGGGACATTCTTCCACCTCTGGTGGACCTGCCCAAAAGTGAAGGCCTTCTGGGAAGTGATTTATAACGAGTTAAAAAAGGTATTTAGGTATACCTTTCCCAAGAAACCAGAGGCCTTCCTCCTGGGCATGGTGGACCAGAAGGTGTTAAAGAAGGATAGATCTTTGTTTATGTATGCTACTACAGCAGCAAGAATCCTCATTGCAAAGTACTGGAAGACACAAGATTTACCCACGCTGGAGGAATGGCAGACGCAGTTGATGGACTACATGGAATTGGCTGAAATGACTGGCAGAATCCGAGATCTGGGAGAGGAAATAATGGAAGAGGACTGGAAAAAATTTAAAGACTATTTGCAAAAACATTATAAGCTGTATGAATGTTAAGAATGTGCACGATTAGGAAACTTTTGCTTCAGCAACTCGACTAGGTGAACCGAAAACTAAGTTATAAGAATGAAGAAGTGGAAACATGAAATAATTTTATTATGTTTATTTTAAGTGTACAAACATTGGGATATAACATTGGGAATTTAGAAACATGATAAGTGAAAGATACAGTAAGTTACGAAATAAGGTAACAAATTGCTGACGTTTTTATTACAGAGAATGCAGGGTTTGGAGGATGCGGGGAAGTCCAGTTGGAATGTTAAAAATATTATGGAAAGTTGGATTGTTATACATTTCTTTTTCTTCTTTTCTTTTTTCTGTATTCTATATTCTTGACTGTAAGGAAAGAAACTCAATAAAATATTTATTAAAAAAAAAAATTATGTGCTGAAGAAATGTTTGATCAGGTGCACATGTGACGTAGGGTAAGGCCCAAGACAACTTTCCTTAGCCATGGGGAAGAGAGAAGGTGAAAGGGGGAAATTCACTACAGAGGCTTTGTGAAGGTGGAAGGACACAGGTCAGGAAAAAACCACCCACATGCCAAGCTGTCTTAAGCATATATGGCGCTGGGGTGCAAAGATCCGCCCGGTGCCCCCCCCCCGGTTGCCTCGTCCCAGGCGCGCAGGAGGGCGTAGCCAGCCAGCCGCCTCAGCGTCTCACTGGCTTGGTCGCCCCCGAAATCGTGGCGCAGAGCAGAAGAGCCCACTGCGGTGCTCCAACCAACGGGTGGGTTCTTCCCCAGACTCAACTCTTGGGCCCCAGACTCTTGGCCTGGTGCCCTTGAGAGCCCGCACCCCTAGCCCCTATGGGTAAGACAGCCCTGCCCACATGAAACCTAGGAGAACAGACTGCACTCACCATACTATTGGGGACTGCAGATATAATGCAACTCATGAGGTAAACATTTTTGTCATTGGTCAATTGCCCCCCAAAATTCACCAGAATGGGAAACTGGTCAAACATTGGTTAAAAGGGGACTCTGAATTTTGGCTCAACCCTACCTGATACATCAGTGCTTGAGATGGCATGGAAAGACCTTCTTCATTCCCATAAGGCCCAATAAAGGTAAAGGTACCCCTGCCCGTATGGGCCAGTCGTGTCCAACTCTAGGGTTGTGCGCCCATCTCACTTAAGAGGCGAGGGCCAGCGCTGCCCGGAGACACTTCCGGGTCACGTGGCCAGCATGACGAAGCTGCTCTGGTGAGCCAGCACCAGCGCAGCACACGGAAACACCGTTTACCTTCCCGCTATAAAGCGGTACCTATTTATCTACTTGCACTTAGGGGTGCTTTCGAACTGCTAGGTGGGCAGGAGCTGGGACCGAAAGACGGGAGCTCACCCCGCCGCGGGGATTCGAACCGCCGACCATGCGATCGGCAAGCCCTAAGCTACCCATCCTAGCTTAGAAGTGCCTTACAATCCGAGTCTTCATTCCACCTCCTGGCTGCTGGATGGAGGAAGTCAGTTATTGTCTGCAGTAGCCTGCAAGGGTATTGATTTCTCCCTTTTGTGCTGGAACAAACAGGAAGCTTGCCCTGCACGTGTGAACCTGGTGCCACAGAATCAACCTCCCAGCTGTAGCTGGGAAGCCCTTTGTTTCTGATGAGTGGAGAGTTCCTTCACTTCTGCTTGAAGGAAACCACAGATATTTCCGCTAGCACAGCCTGTTTCCGTCTCTTAATAGGATATCTTTCTCTCCCATCCAGCAAAGTCAAAATATGTAAAAAGCTGCCACATGTTCTGTTATGTCTCTCTTTTGTTTTGTTTTGTTTTGTTTTGTTTTGTTTAATAGTGAGTCAAAAAAAAAATGAAAAATGAGAAGGATTTCAACACACACACCCCAAGCCTATGTGATAACAGCCCTTCCCTTTAAGCTAATGAGTACAACAAGGTCAAGGGAATCTGAACAGCCTGTGATTCAAGAAAGAGCATCTTTCCTCCTCTGAACTGTTGTATTTATAATGTTTCATACTTAGTAAGGCACTCTGAGCTTTAGAACCTCCCTCTGCTTCAGTCCAGATTGACAACTGCCTCTCTTTATTATTATTTATTAAATTTGTATACTGCCCTGCATCCGAAGATTGAAGGGCAGTTTGCAACATAGAAAACACAAAATTAGAACACAAAATGCACAACAGAAACAAGCCAATAAATCCCCTCCCACAAACACAAAAATTCTCTCCATGTGAACCAACCCAGACCCTGCAATAGTCATCCCCGACCCTTCTATCTCTGAGGGAGGTGTGTGTGGGGGGGACATAACAACAGGTCTTTTCTGTGGGAATTAACATTTGTGGAACACTTTCCCAAAGGAG